TGACTGCTAGCCAGAAGGTTGGTGGTTCAAACCCACCAGCCACTCTGCAGAAGGAAGACTGGGCAATCTACTTCCATAAAGATTTACTGCCTTGGAAACTCAAAGGGGGTCACTATGAATAGGAATCAACTTGATGGCAGTGAGTTTGGGGTGTTGGGGTGGTTTTTCTTTTTTTTGTATAGTTTAACATGGTTCCATTCTCAGTGTTTTTGTTAACTATACTGTGAAGACTGGCTCTTGTAATTTCAATTCTTTCTAGCTACCTGTCTTCCTTAGCCTGTCCTATTCTTTTCTCCCTTCCCTGCCTGCCTCCCTCCCTCTGTTTTATGCCTTATACTCTTCTATATGGATCAACCAAGTGAATGACTTGGACTGGTAGCAAAACAGAGCTGCTCCTTATCTTCCTAAGCTGCTTTTTCTTCTGTGGATGAGATAGAAGCAATCTAGCCTTCAGGGTCTTTCGTTTTGCCCCATCTTTCAAGGAAAGCTGTATCCAAAAAAAAAAACAAACTCACAGCCATCGAGTGGGATCTGAATCAAAGCGACCGCTCCTTGGGTTTCCGAGGTGGTATCTCTATGGAAGAGACTGCCCAACCTTCCTTCTGAGGAGTGGCTGGTGGATTTGAACTGCCAGCCTTCTGGTTAGCAGTCAAATGCCTTAGGCGCTACGCCACCAGAGCTTTCAAAGCTCTATAGTGAAAATAATAGTAAACAACCGGTAATTACAATAAAATTAAACCGAGTTTCACTTTCCTATGCTTGCTCGGAAACCCAAGGAGGGGTCCCTATGAGTCGGGGCCGACTTGGTGGCACATGACAACAACAACAACATGCTTGATATATGTAATACACCTTTGCATAGTTGGATTGTGACTGTATTTGTAAAATTCTGTGTATTTAAATCCTGGTTTTTAAGTGCTTTAGGTATGTTACATGTAAACCAAACTTAGAATTTAAAGTGTGAGGAAACCTTAACAATAGGCTGAATCTGTAATTTGGTAGTCAGGTCACTGCTGGGTGACCAGAAACCACACACTAAATAAATGGGAGGAGCCAGAGCTGTTCCTTTTATGAGCTCATTGGTGATTTTGTCTTCAGGGAAAATTGGATTGATATTCCCTTTGCTAGCACCTAGAGTCCTTTATACTTCTAAATAAAAACTGGTATAGCACGGTTTTCTTAATTTTATTTCTAGATCTGTTCTATTCCTCCTTTCTACTTTTCTTTTGCATTAAATGAACATTTTATAATGTAACATTTTAATTTTTTTAATGATGTTTCTAGCTATTTCTTTAGTGGTTGCTCTAGGGCTTGCATAGCATCTTAATTTATGAGAATTTGCTTCAGATTTATACAACTTAATTCCAGTGAGATAGAAAAATGTTGTAAGCATTTAATTTTGATTTCTGTATTCATTGCTCTCTTCATTTTTGTTTATGTGTTTATATTTACTTGAAGCATTAGCAGTCTATTTGCTATGTTGTTGTTGTTGTTATGTACTGTCGAGTCGGCCCCGACTCATAGCGACCCCTCCTTGGGTTTCCAAGGCAGTATCTCTATGGAAGTAGGATTGCCCAACCTTCCTTCCAAGGAGTGGCTGGTGGGTCTGAACCGCCAGCCTTCTAGTTAGCAGTCAAGTGACTTAAGCTGTTTGCTATAGTTATAAAAATAATATGGAAATAATCTTCTTCACAGTTGGAGTCAAGAATAGAGGAACTTAACAATGAAGTCAAAACTTCCAAAGAGAAACTAGTGGCTCAGGATACTGCAGCTAAAACTGCAATTCAGCAGTTGCACAAGGAGATGGCTTATCGGATGGAGCAGGTACTTTTCATTTTGTCATTAAGTTTGTCATTAACTTGATACTCTTATGACTTTCTTATTAAAAGTAAGTTTGGACATCAGTGGTGTATTAAGAATAATAGTTTTATTTACATAAAAATTAACCTCTAAAAACGCTAAACCAGTATATTGATACATGCTAATTATGAACAACTAATAAATAAAGGATGTACATAGAATACAAAGTGAAAGTCCCCTGCCCCATCCATTTCCAATCTATCCATAGGTTTACAGCATGGGCTAGTGCATGCACACACAGCACACACCATGTGCACAGACACATGCCCCCCACACACACACACCCTACACATATACACCCCAATTTATTTATTAATCTTTTCCTTCCAAAACAGTTATTTAATATTTTAAACAATTCAGTTATACAGGAAAGAAATTTAAATAGTACATACTTATTTTTGTTGCTAAATTGGTCTTTTTACAGAGGTGACAAAAATACAGAAAGAAGTTCTGTGAAACTAATTGAAAAGCGTAACATGAGAAATTGTCTTCAGTTTTCAGTTTTTATGGCTAAAGATACCACATAGAATTGTGCGATGTCATCATTCAAATATTCTCTTGAAGAAAGTGTGTGTTAGTCTTAGGTCAGAGAAGCTTTGCAGTCCCTGCACTAAAGATAGGTGACTAAGGGAAGGCAGAGAGAGGAACTTGGACATTGCTTTCCAGGCTGTCTTCCTGATACGCCCCTCCAGTTACACACCTTAATTTAATTTCCTGGGCCAGATTGGTAGAATGAATTTGAATCTCAAACTTCAAGGAAGGCAGAGCTGTGATTATAGATCCTCAGGAATTTTATAACTTGCCCCTCCCTACCCCCACCTGCAATAGAGTTTCCATGTTTTGTGCTTTGTTCAAGAGGAGGGCTTTGTGTAACCCTGTAAGGTCCTAAAGGTGGTTGGTTATTCATATGTGTGTACAGAGGAGGTAGGGGTAATGGATCTCAGTTCCAATGCCTTACCTTGCTGGGACTAGTTTCTCCCTGGCCTGATGTTGGTCAGTTCCTCAGGGCAAGCAAGATCTCAGCCCTGTACCAATCTAGACAATTAAACAGAAAAGAGCAACAGCGTCAGCCAAAGTAAAGGGAATAGGACAGGGTAAAAACATGTATTAGTGATACTAGTTTATTTTTGTATAATTTTGATTTTTTCCCTTTTATTTTAAAATTGCATGTCATATATCCTGGGCATTTTGTACAATAACTAAAAAATATGCATTTGTGATATAATAGGCAAATACTACTTTTTTTTTTTTAATTTTATTTTGATTTGGGTGAAGATTTACAGAGTAAATTCACTTTTCATACAGCAGTTCACATAATATACTTTGTCTCATGTCATTGACCAAAATTTGCAATGCAACAGCTCCCCTCCCACTTCCTCCCCATAGTTACCTCTTCCCAGTGTCCATCCCTCCATACTCTTCTGCGCCCTGAGCTGTCTCCCTGTGTATAAGCAGCCCTTCCTTCTCCCATGATTGTTCTCTCCAGGGCGTGTGTCTACTTGAGGTAAATGTTTAATTCACATGCCTGTACTTTGTTTGGCTGGAAACCACAGGTATGGCTTCAATTCCAGACCTGCAGGGCAGCTAGGGGCCATAGTGTCAGTGGTTCCACCAGGCTCTATTGGACCAGCAAACCTGGTCCTTACCTTCTTTTTTTTTTTTTGCCTCCAAATGATTTTGAGTTTTGTTCCACATTGTTCTCCCTCTCTATGCAAATACTACTTTTTATATATTTTTATTGTTTGATAAATATTTCTTATTAATGCCCCTAATATTTTTTTAAAGGCCAGCAAAAAATGTGAAGAGGCACGCCAGGAAAAAGAAGCAATGGTAATGAAGTATGTAAGAGGTGAGAAGGAATCTTTAGACCTTCGAAAGGAAAAGGAGATACTTGAGAGAAAACTTAGAGATGCAAATAAGGAGTTTGAGAAAAACACTAACAAAATTAAACAGCTTTCTCAGGAGAAAGGAAGGTTACACCAGCTGTATGAAACAAAGGTATAACTTGTCCTATTGTGCATTATTTTAAATTTATTCTCTTTGCTTTTCCTAATTTAATCAAATAATTGTAAGTTAACTTGGTTAAAAACACTCTTAAGCATTAAATTGTTTTTATTAATTTACTTTAGAAGAACGTGAATGTTTTAGTTATTTTGGTATCTTGGCATATTTAATATACTTTTAAATACTTGGTATATTATGTAATTTACTTCTGCAAGAAAAGTTAGCTGGGAAAAGATGAAGGTAGCATCATATTGCTGATTAGGTAACTTTGTCTTGATAGACTATTTTCAAAGCTTTCCTTATAGATCTGATGTTGGAGAAATGAGTTTTTGCCTTATGGGAAGTTTAGCTTTTTCAAAATATGTATCTAGTAGTGTCAAATATGAAGAATTTTAGAGCTAGAAGCATAATTTGACCAGATCTTAATGAAAAGCTAACTTATAGGAACAAATTCATATGTTTGTTACAGAAAAGCACTTGGATGCTGTCCAAGGCTCAGATTCAGAGCTCTGTTAACAGCTCTCACGGCATGGTTGTATTTCTAGGGTAGTACCAGCTTTTGTGATGAGTACCATTTAAGTTTTCAGTTCAGAAATGTAGCTACTGTTCTCAAGAATTCTAACAAAGTACTTGTAGTTCACACTTCACCTTAATGTCAGCCACTTGGGAAGGCCCATGAAGGTGTACTCACACTGCATCCAACTGGTTAAAGTACAAATGTAAAACATTTTTATGCCTGATAATTGGGTGTAGCTATTTCACTGCTCTCTTACGATTTGGACTTTAAATCAGCTGTACATAGCTTTAAAGTAAATTTTGCACCATCTGCAATTTGCAAAAAAAAAATGTAGTGGCATAAATAAAAAGGGAAATGAAGGCCTTTTGAAGAAGGTTAAAGTAAGTCTTTCAAAAAAATAATAAATTAAGAACACAGATTGGAAAAACTCCCAGAACATCATCACAAACCCTGGTATGATGATCTTTCTGATGATGGCTTAGAAGAGGACTTATTTTAACCAGGGGGAGAAACATAGAACGAAAAACAACTATCATATGAATTACTGAAATTCCCACTTAGATTTGTGACTATAAAATTCAAAATACTAAAGGCTTTTCCTTACGAATAATGTGCTTTATTTACAGCATAGATATTAGGTACCATTTTGGCCTCAAATTTTATAAAAACTGTGTTGAAGAGATTTCTCTGGATTCACTGTAAAGTTATGGCAGAGTCAGCAAACTTTTCTCGTAACTGGCCAAACAGGAAATACGGTAGACTTTGCAGCCCATAGGGTCTCTGCTGCAGCTACGTAACCCGGCCCTTCTATAATGAAAGCAGCCATAGACATCTATAAACAAATAGGGATGGTTATTTTCTAATAAAAGCTTATTTATGGGCACAGAAATTACAATTTTATATAATTTGCCTGTCATGTTCCTTTTATGACTATTTTTTTCAATATTTAAAAATGTAAAACATGGGAGCTGTACAAAAACAGGTGGTAGGCCAGACTTGGCCTGTGGGCCATAGTATACCCACTGCCACCGAGTCAATTCTGACTCATTGACACCACCCCCATTGGGTTTCTAAGGCTGTAAATCTTTATGGCAGTAGATTGGCTCATCTTCCTCCCACAAAGCAGCTGGTGGTTTGAACCGCCAACCTTCTGGTGAACAGCCTTACCCACCATACGACCAAGAGCTCCTTGGGCCATAGTATGCCAGTCTCTAAATTTAGTATATTGCATTGATTATTTTGAAGGGGTGCAAAAGACACATAAATAATTTGTTGAATGTTTAAATGAAAAATATGACCTGGTGATATGATTTTAGGAAGGTGAAACAACTAGACTCATCAAAGAGGTAGACAAATTAAAGGAAGATGTCAACTCTCACATCATTAAAGTCAAATGGGCACAAAACAAATTAAAAGCTGAAATGGATTCTCACAAGGTAAGTACTGTAATCAATCAGATAATTATTAGTATCGGTTTTAAAAACAAACACAGGAATGGTTAATGAGAATAGCTTGGGCCTGAATGTTTGGTGTTTGTGAAAACATGGAGAAAAAGGGACCAGGTTTACCTTCCATCTTAAAAAACTGAAACAAAGCAAAACAGACAAATATAAGAAACAAAGGTTTCCAGACATGGGATATAAACAGTGTAAGATGGTGATCCCTGAGAGAAGGGGAACAAGCGAAGCAGTGCAAGGAGGGGAATAAACAGCCCAGTGGTTGCACTGAATTAAGGAGACAGAGTTCAGAGTATGGGGAGCAAGGCAGAGTACTGGAGCTGTAAAAGGTACGGAGTGTCTGCAGTGTGTCCCCGAGACTTCAGTGCATGTGTCTGAAGCACACAGAGAGAGGGAAAGAACCCCCAGAAAGGACTTCCCTGGAGCTAACACAGGGGCCTGTCTACCTGGAGCAGAAGGCTTATATCAGGCCTGCCTCCATAACAGATGTTAACTGAACAATAAATGGCAAGCACTGAGGTAGGTGCTGGTATGAGAAAACACAGGGCCTGCTGTCCAGAGCTGTATACTTAATGGAGGAAATAGGCTCCAGGACAGTGTGTCACTTTTCCAGTGTGAGGATGCCCTGGAGTCTTATCTACGGGAAGGGAGAGTGGCAGCATCTACCCCTGTGTTTTGGTTATCTAGTGCTGCTCTGACAAGAATATACCACAAATGGGATGGCTTGAAGAGATAGGAGTTTATTCTCTTACAATTTGGAGGCTTTAAGTCCGAGTTCAAAGTGCCAGGCTCTAGGGGCTTCAGCCTTGGGCTTCAGCGCTGCCTCCTGCTCCCGGCTCACTGGAGCTAGAGGCTTTTCTTCACTCAGACAGCTGCTGGTTGCTTAGACTGACAAGCCCATGGTTGACAAGTAAAAAGGCATAGTCCCAATGTTACCAAATCACATGGGAGGCCATTAACTCAAGTCCATTGAAAGTCCCAAGGTCGGCAGAGCATGGCAGGCTGGTGAACAACGACATGGCTACATACAGGGTTCAAGCATGCCAAAAGCTAACAACCATTCCCGACGCTGCTGCTTATATACGGGAAGCAGACCACATCACTAAAGCGGCTACTCAGCTGCTCCAGACATACCACCGTGGAGTTGACTGCCAGTCTCACCACGGGGAATAACTACATCCAGCTGCCCAGCCACTCAACCGGGCCTACCCAAGTTCACACACAAACTTAACTACCACACTCTGTCTTAAGGAAGAGGAGGGAAAGTTAGTCGGAGGCTGTGATACATAAACTGTCCCCTGAAATCAGATGATATCCAAAACCATGGGACTGAGTGACTTCTCTGAAGGAGGATGTGGACAAAGAGCTTCAGGACAAGGGCTGTGTCTTAGAAAATCCCACAGGAAGTAGGAAACCTGTCAAGGAGAAAGGGAAGGCAACAAGAGGAGACAAAAAGGGGAGGAAGATACTGTGACGTAGTGAACCGGGAAAGGAAAGTACAGGCATACCTTGTTTCACTGCATTTCAGCTTAGTGCGCTTTGCAGGTACGGCACTTTTCACAAACTGAAGGTTGGGGGCAGCTGTGCACTGAACAAATCTGTTGGCACCATTTTTCCAACAGTGTGTGCTCACTTTGTGTTTCTGTGTAACATTGTGGTAATTCTTACACTATTCCAAACCTTTCCATAATGCTGTTGCCTAGTGCATTATACACTGCAGTACAGTGTGAACATAACTTTTATATGCACTGGGAACTCCAGAAATGGCCGTGGCTCACTTTATTGCGACGTAGACTTTGTTGAGGTGTTCTGGTACTGAGCCTGCAGTATCTCCGAGGTGGGCCTCTATCAGAGTCTAGATGGCCGGAAGTGACAGCTAGAGCAGGTGAGTCAAGAGTAAGAACCCAGAAAAGTAATTGCATTTGATGCAAGAGTAGTCTCTGTACCTTTAGAAGTGCAATTCTGGGTGAACAGTTAGGAACGGAAACCAGACTGAAACACGATCTATAGAAAAGCCATTTGAGTAGCCATTGCAGCCACACACCAGAGAACTGTTTCATGTGTGAGAAGAACTCTTAATGCTTGTCTTTTCTTGCCTTACCAGAGATGAAGGTGAATAACTTGTAGAAATTCGCTTATAATTTAGCAAAATAAATTAATAGCTATTGGTTAACTGTGGGCACAATTTTACTTTTTTGTCAGAAATAAAATATTATAATTAGGATAATCTCTGATCCCTCAGTGTTTGTGCAGGGATAAGAATTCTTCCTACTCCAGGATATCCTGGATAGACAGGGAGAGCAATGTGGAACAAAACTCAAAATCATTTGGAAAAAAAAGCGGGGATCAGGTTTGCTGGCCCGATAGAGCCTGGTGGAACCACTGAGACTATGGCCCCTAGCTGCCCTTCAGGTCTGGAATTGAACGCACACCTGTGGCTTCCAGCCAAACAATAGACAGGCATATGAGTTGAACATTTACCTGAGGTAGTTACACTCCTTGGAGAGAACAAGCATGAGAGAAAGAAGGGCTGCTTATGCACAGGGAGATAGCTCAGGGGGTAGGAGCTCATGGAGTGATGGATACAGGGAAGAGGTAACTATCGGGAGGAAGTGGGAGGGGAGATGTTGCATTGTGGTAAATTGTGGTCAATGTCATGAGACAAAGTGTCTGTGAACTGCTGTATGGAGGGTGTATTTGCTCTATGAATTTTCACCCAAATCACAATAAAAACAAAAAAAAAAGAACTCTTTCTACTCCATGGTCCTGTTCATCACTCCTTGGGACCAACTTTGTTGCTGTCTTTTTGTCAATGCAGGAAACCAAAGACAAACTCAAAGAAACAACAACAAAGTTAACCCAAGCAAAGGAAGAAGCGGATCAGATACGAAAAAATTGTCAGGACATGATAAAAACGTATCAGGTATGCTTACTTTTTCAAACAGATGGGTAATAATTATACTAACCATCTGTAGTCTTGTCTCATTGAATTTCTACTTTGGCAATATTTGAAGTGTAGAATGAATTTGGTAGGGCAATTAAATAAAACCATTGATTTGCTATATGAAAGTATTTGCAGCTTAAATAGAGATCTTATTAGAGATGTTTTCAACCAAATGAAAACACTTAAAAAAAGTCAGAAGAAGGAAGAGTGCAAGGAAATGTAGAACTTAAAGCAACAACCACCCACAGCTTTAAGTTAAGCACCAACTGAGACCACCCACTCTGTGTCATGTTACATACTTTCAGTATGCTATCCTTGTTCATACAGAATTGACAGTTAAAATGTTTGAGTGCAACTGCTTTTAGCATCAGGATAAGTGATGGACTTCAGCATTATAAAACTCAGGTGCAAAGTACTCTTCTTCACTTTTCAAGGTATAAGACCTTAAAAATTAAGTCACTTGTACATTTTTATTTCCCTTTCATTAGGAGTCAGAAGAAATTAAATCAAATGAGCTTGATGCAAAGCTCCGAGTCACAAAAGGAGAACTTGAAAAACAAATGCAAGAAAAATCTGACCAGCTAGAGGTGAGTCGAGTTGCTCTTTGTATGTCCTGGATAAATACAGGAATAGGGGACTGCTTTCAAGGCGTAGTTATCGCTGTCATATTTTAAAGACTTTTGGAAGGAGCGGGCAATAAATTTTATATCTAGTTTAGTACGTAATTATTTGTGGTTTCTTCTAAACCTTTTAAAAGATGCATCATGCCAAAATAAAGGAACTAGAAGATCTGAAGCGGACATTTAAGGAGGGCATGGATGAGCTACGAACATTGAGAACAAAGGTAATTAAATTTTCAGTCGTGAATCCAGAGGGAGGGGAAATAGTATCTTTAATTTTGAGCTCATTCTTATTTTTAAAATGGAAGCAAAAAATATACAAGTTTTCAAAAATGAACGAACTCAGAGGATTAGAATGGCAACAAAATGGACTCTTGTTGAAATGAAATGTCCTCCCCTTCAGTCCTGTGAAGTGTTTGCCCAACATGCCCAATACAGAGCACACTTGCTGTAGTTATCATTTATCCTTGGGCCTCTGATCTAAAGGTGTTCTAATCAGAAAATTAATTGGCAGATAATTGGACCTTAGAACTGTAGGTGTCAGAAAAGAAGGAGACGACTTTCTTTATATTTCTCCTGTGTATTTAATAGTCTTAGGTGGATACAGTTTTAATTTCTAACAATCTATTAAACCTTTTCTCATGTTTATAGTTTTTATTGTGTAGTCTTTTTAATATGACTGTGACTGGGAAATGTATTGTCAATACGTATCATTCATTTACTGCAAATACATAACCACCTTGTATTTGAGATACTTAGTAATTTTCAAAGTGTTTTTCAAAATGTTTTTTATATACCTTCCTGTATGTTCTCCAGGCCCGTTCTTTGAGGTAGGTGGGGAGTTGTCCTCCCTTTTCAGGTGAGGAAATGGAGTCTCAGAAAGAATAAAGTGCGTGCTTAAACTCTCACGACTAAATCATGAGACATCTGAGACTGAAACTCAGAGTCGTTAACTTCTATCTTCTGGTAGTGATTCAGACTTCAGCTTTGATGATTACTGTGTAACCACTGCCTGAAATAGTTTATAAGGAACAAGAAAATAACATTTGTGCTTTAATTTGGTTATGATCATTTCATAGGTGAAATGTCTAGAAGATGAACGATTAAGAACAGAAGATGAATTATCAAAATATAAGGAAATTATTAATCGCCAGAAAGCTGAAATTCAGAATTTATTGGACAAATTGAAAGTTGCAGATCAGATACAGGAGCAATTTCACAGGTAGAGGAGAAGCACTTCTGTTTATGCTCATCAACTGGCTCTCTATCCTGCCTCAACTTTCTGTTTTAAATGCAGTTACTCATTAAACAGGAACAATTTTATTAGTTAAGAAGCATTTTAAAATTCCTGTCTTCATTTGAAGTCTTTTTAAGTTTCTATCATAACTTCTAAAAATCGAAGTTTATATTCCTTGAACACTAGCAGTAGCAATTTATAATAGGATAGATTTATTTAGTCTATTCCTTAGCTTTCAAATTCTACAATTTATGTACAGTACTCGATATATATTGGCATGTGTGTAGTTCAAGGTCAAGAGTTGACATTACCCTTTGGTCTCTTATAAAACCAGTTAGCTAAACTTCACTCATTAGATTCCTGGCAGAGCCTGGATTCATATTGAATCCAAGTCTTTTTCACATCTCACAGATACCCATGCTGCTGAGTGTTGCTAAAGAAATCCTTGTCATCTACCAGATTGGGGCCATAAATCCATGCTTATCAACCTCACTGGGATCTTCATACCCCTCTGATCCTACCAGTGCCCTTGATCAGGACCTTCTTCTCCATCTTCCTACCATCTGTTCCGGACTTTATCTATTTCTTCACATGTCTGGCCCTCCGCCTCGTCTCTCGTTTACTCTCTGCAGATGATTACCTCTTACTTCACAGGAAAAATGGGAGCAGTTCTCTCGACTTCTTGCCATCGATCCTATGAACTCACTTGTGCCTGTGACCATCCTTTCCTTCCCTTCTGTAGTCATGGAAGAAATGTTCCTGCTCCTCTGAATCTAGTTGTTCTTTACACCTCCCTGTGGATCGATGCGCTCCTGCCTTCCTCCTTTTGGCTTCATTTCCCTCATCTTTTCCTGGGATCCTCTCATCTTTCTGGCCACTCTTTCTCGGTCTCCTTTGCAGCCTTCATGTTCTGTCCTAAAGCCCATGTTCGCATTTTACTACACCCCTGTGTGATGCCGACTATTCTTATACAATGCTGTGTTGTTGTTGTTGTTAAGTGCTGTCAAGTCAGACCCGACTCATAGCGACCCCTCCTTGGGTTTCCAAGGTAGTATCACTACGGAAGTAGATTGCCCCATCTTCCTCCCAAGGAGTGGCTGGTGGGTTTGAATCACCAGCCTTCTGATTAGCAGTCAAGTGCCTTACCCACTATGCTACCAGAGCTCCCATACAATGCTACAGACCCTCAAATTATTTTCAGCCCTTAATTGCTGAGCTCCAGACTCCTAAGTCCTAAGGACACCTCAAACTTTAATATGTCCAGAACTGATTCACTTGTCCCTCCACACATGTACTTCTCCTCTGGTGCTCCCAGGAGAAGTGCTGAGTGTCTCCTCTGCAAGACTGTTCAACCCAGGAACCTGGGAGTCATCCTGGACTTTTCTTTCCTTCCCTCCTACATCTGAGCAGCCACAAAGTATTGTTGATATTTCCTCTTTAATTTCAAGTCCATTCACTTGTTCACATTTCCACTGCTATTACTGTAGTCCAAGCCACTGTCAGTTCTCATCTGGAGAACCGCAACACTTTATAAACGAGTTATTCTAATTGCTTCCCCTCTAATCCATTTCCCACACTGTACTTGGCATAATCGTCTAACAAACCAATCTGTTCAAACATTTCAGTGTTTTCCCATTGCCTCAAGGGTTGCCTACCAAAAAATCAGACCCACTGCGATTGAGTTGATTCTGACTCATAGCAACCCCCATTGGGTTTCCAAGGCAGTAAATCTTTACAGAAGAAGTTGTCCCATCTTTCTTCCGTGGAGCAGCTGGTAGGTTTCAACCACCAACCTTCTAGTTAGCAGTCAGATGCCTTAGGCACTGTGCCAGAGCTCCTTTGAGGGTTGCCTGGTGAGTTCAGACACCTTCACGTAGCTTGTGAGACTTGTGCCTTGCTTCTCCCTTGCACCTTTCCCTTTCTTCCTCTTGTGTTTCAGCCACAGTCAGTTCATGTTTATCGATCATCTCTTGTGCTCCGTGCCCTGTGCTAGGTGCTAGGATATAGTGCAGTCCCTGCTCAAGGGGTTCTCTTGCTCATTTCCCAGCTTTAGCATACGCTGTTCCCTCTACCTGGAGCATATTTTGTCCTCCCACTAGCTTCTACTTTTCGTTTAGGTCAGGGGTCAGCAAACTATGGCCCTTGAGCCAAATCCAATCCAAATCCAACCTACCACCTGTTTTTGCAAACTTTCTTTGGACCTAGCCACACTCACTGCTTTATGTATTGTTTCCAGCTGCTTTCATGCTACAATGGCAAAGTTGACCAGGTACAACAAAGGCCCTGTGACTCAAATGCTGAAAATGTTTACTCTCTGGCCTTTTACAGGCAAAGTCTGCCCACCCTTGCTTTAGGTATCAGTTGAAGCATCACCTGCACTAGTTAGATGACCTCTATGCTGTCGTCATTGAAATGGTTATGACATTTGTTTATGACACTATGTTCATTATCTCTTTGAAAGCAGGGACCATGTCAGGCTTGTTTACCAAGACCCTCAGCTCTTAGTTCCTGGTATATGTTAACCAAAACCCATTGCTCTTGGGTCACTTCTGACTCATAGTAACCTTATAGGACAGACTAAAACTACTCTCATAGGATTCTTAAGGCAGTAATCTTTACAGGAGCACACTGCTACATGTTTCTGCTGCACAGCAGCTAATGGGTTTGAACCACTGACCTGCTTTCAGTTAGCAACTGAGCACTTTAACCACTATCATACTTGAGCTCTTTACACATTCATAAATATTTGGATGAATTAATAAAAGTACCTTTAAAAAGCATTTCAGTAGATGAAAATTCCCAAACCATTAATTTAATGTCTTATAATAATTTAAGTTTTTCTTAAATATAAACTTTGTTTTTTAGAGGTAAACAAGAAATTGAAAATTTGAAGGAAGATGTGGAAAGTCTTAATTCTTTGATTAATGACCTACAAAAAGACATCGAAGGCAGTAGGAAAAGAGAATCTGAGCTCCTACTGTTTACAGAAAAACTCACTAGTAAGAATGCACAGCTTCAGTCCGAATGCAATTCCTTGCAGTCACAATTCGATAAGCTTTCCTGTAGTGAAAGTCAGTTACAAAGCCAATGTGAACAAATGAAACAGACAAATATTAATTTGGTAAGTATAAATATGCATTTGACTTTTGAAGAAACGTGGCAAGAAGCACAAATGAAATATCCCTCCCAGTGTAGGATTGGTAATAGTTGATTTAAGCTCTTCTCTGTTGGCTCTGACTTTATGGTAATCCAACACTGTAAGAAATGTCAGTTGTCCTTTTGACTGATGTAATGAAATGTGTAATAAAATTTTGTATTATAAAATGATTATGAAGAAGTACTTGACTTTGGAAAATAAGTAATCCAGGGTTTCTGTCATTCCCAACTGGAATCACTATATATATATACATATATATACATATATGTATATGTATATGTATATATATGTGTATGTATATATCTTTAGGAGCTCTGGTAGCATAGTGGCTAAGGTACTTGACTGCTAACCAGAAGACCGGCGGTTCAAACCCACCAGTCACTCCTTGGAAGGAAGATGGGGCAATCTACTTCCGTAGTGAGACTGCCTCAGAAACCCAAGGAGGGGTCACTATGAGTCAGGTCCAACTCGAGGGCAAACAACAACAACAATATGTATCTTACTAAATATATAGCATATATTTACTAATCCTATTTACTATCTTGTTGAAGATAATTCAAAAATGGTTGGAGCAGTATATTGAGAGAGGCTTCCAGAAATGCAAGCTGGATTCAGAAGAGGAGGTGGAGCAAGGTATATCATTGTTGACATCAGATGGATCTTAGCTGAAAGCA